GGGCTTCATCTGTCTGGATTGGTAATTCACGACGCGTTCTCGACCTTCGTCGTAACCGAGCCAATTGAGAGAGCGACGATTGTCGAAGTTGCACAGTGGCCACTGTTACGCTTAGCATTATTTTCAAGAAACATTCCACCCAACGTTTCTAACTCAATCCTACAATGTAAGGACAGTAAGCATACTGACTGCGTGGTACAGTGGCAAGGAATCAACGCAAATTTCGTGACTGGCATTCCACCACCACGCAATTCTAGCATCAACAAATACTCGAAAGATCAATTAGAACACCATAAACTTCAGGGATAAAAAAATAAGCGAACGGATCTACGCTTACCGATCCAATGTCTAGTCACCTACCCAAAAATACGCTTTAGTATCAATTTGACCACGGGCCCCACATTGTTTGCACTAACTTAGCGTAGTGAAGGCAAATCACCTGATCGAAGTCCGCAGCGGACACTTTATCAAGCGCCGAAGTCTCATAACAAACGCAATTTTAGTGTAAAATCAGCGCAACTCGTAGTAAAACCCGGAACCAAGCGCAATCTGACAAAAATTCGGGCAGTGCTACGCATTTATCTGGCCGTCACACCCTGAATTTGGCGAAACCCAAACCACTCCACGAACAACGAAGCAGCGATTGAACCTCAAAGTTGCGTCAGCATCGCCGCCTGGGCGATGGAAACGACGACATATTGGCACCTCACCGGCCGAAGCCACAAACCTTCAGCAGAGACACGCAATCGAGAAATGCAGCACGTGATCTGCCAAACCTGGCCCCGTGATTCTTATGAAAACCCACCGGCACCGCTCCGTAAACAACTTCTCTATACTGCGTCGCCATCTGGCTTGAGCAATCTGGCCATGATCCCATCTGGCCGGCTCAAGCCACAAACTTCACAAGGCGCGGGGACTCCGAAAATTAATCACGAGGGGGCAGCCGTCTCGCCGGATTACCAATTTGGATCGCTTCTAGATTGTAGATTCTAAAAACGATCATATTCGGAGTGAAGGACTTGAAGTGATCTGGGATGATTATTTTCGAGGTATGCGACCCACTCGAAACGGTATTAACTCCGGTACCGACTTGTACTTGCGCGCAGCACCAAGACAAAACTGCTCCTAAGCACCGAGAGCCGACTGTTGCTGCACGAGCGCTCCGCAGCAGAGACTCGGTCCGGACAGACAGATGAAGAGCAACCTGGCGTTTCCTTTCGAACAAAGACATCGCGCCAGAATCTTCGGCGAAGTTGACTGAAGACAGGACAAAGCAGCCTTTGCAGAGTTCGGCGAGCACGCAGTCGTGCCGTGGTCGATCTTAAACGCAGTCCTTGCACCGACATCCACAGCTTATAGCAGCTGAACCAGGAACGACAAAGCTCCAATGAGAAACATATCGCGACGCCTTCCGCCGCCAACGCCCGATGCACACATGAATAATATCTTTGCGTAGACTTCCGGTAGCCCGTGCACTTGCGGCAAGCATGCTTCCTTTTTTGGGCTGTAGGCTACAGTCATTGTCGACATGAAGCGGTGCTTGCTGTAGATCTAGTAGACGATCTTCTTTAGATCTTTGTTACTGGCGCAATCTCCGGACGTGTAGATGTAGTACTTGATTGTTGAATGCTTTCTTGATGATGCAACATTTGTACACAGTGTACCACCGTACTAGTCTTCACCGTAAGTACACGATCGATCGAAGCGGTCGGTGGCACAGTGCTGCCCACGCGCGCCTTGTTGCCCGTTCATTTTAGGTTGACGGCAGTCTTGAAGTGGTCAGAGGTTGCAGTCACTGGTGCCGCCACCAGATCGGCGCCCGGCTACAGTTGTAGATCTCGTGCACTGGGGTCAAGACACTGAAGAGCCGTGAGGGCGGTAGGGTTGCTGCAGTGCTCTGCAGTCGTGTCCTTGACACTGACCTTTGTAGTGGTTGTCACTGTTGCTACATACACCGAGGTGCTGCCGGATCGAGCCTGATCCACTGGGTAGCTGTGGTTTGAGTAGTCTTGGATCCAAATGGGGCGGGTCTGACGGAACACAATCGACCGATGCATACATGTGAAATCGGATAGGACAAGTGGTCACTATTCTGCAGACCTACCTCGTAATCGTTGAGTTGCGCGAGCGCGTCCTTGTTCTCGGGCTGACAGGTCGGTCTTCGTCCAGACCCGATGGCGTGTTACATACTAGAACAACATGGTCTCTGTCGGTATCGGCGCAGTAAACGAGTGTGCTATGATAGGGCTTGTTAGCGACCAGCTGGCATAAGGCAGCACACACCATGATGAAGAACACACAGGAATTGTACGATCGAATGTCGAAGAGACCGGAGAGGGTCTCCGACTGCGTCTTAAAGTCGCCAAATCTGAAGTGACACTGAGCGGCAGAAAGCGGATCGGCTTTCAGTACCACGGTTCAATCTCAG